ATTTGCATCGAAGCGTTTCTTATGATAGTGATTTTAATCATTGTCAGATATCATCTATACTTGTCCCATCTATGCCTTGTCCACACTGTGCCTCGACCCCACTGTGCTACCGTTTTTTAAACTATATTTATTTTGCACTTTATAGTTTCATGTTATCATAGTAGTTACTATCAATATCATGTGCACAATGGACCAAGAGGTCTGAGTACATGGGCATCATGTCCACCTCGATAATAACTACTATCAATATCATGGTTGTAACGAGTAACGGGAAATCAGGGTTCGTTCCAGGGAGGGAGTCTGAGAAACGGCTACCACATCCAAGGAAAGCAGCAGGCGCGTAAATTACCCACTCCCGGAACTTTGAGGTAATGACGAAAAATGACGATACGGGAATCATCCTTTGTAATCGGAATGAGTACACTCTATATCTCTTAATGAGAATAAAGCGTGTTAATATATATTTTTAATAGTAATTAGAATATATATACATGTAAAGCGACTTAAGTACGTAAACGTGTAATGCACGAGATATAACCTTGTTTTGTTGTCGGGGGGAACGTTATACCAAAGGTATAAACGGCGGTAGGAATATATAAATATATACAGGGTGTTCAGTAAGTCAGTAAACGGGTTTCTATTGTTCTCATTGTTACAAACAATGAGAACAATAGAAACCCGTTTCCTGACTTATTGAACACCCTGTATACGTAAGGCGCATTACACGCCGGCGGTATTGGTCAGTCAAAATAAAAATTTGTTTATACATATATAATTAATGACAAGCACGCGTGTACGGGTACGAAAACCAAAAATAAAATTTTACAGGAAAATATTGTTAACGACGAGTGGTGAGTGGGGTGAATGCGTTACGACGTCTAGTCTCAAGGTCATAGACGACGGGTACGCGAAAATAATAACACGTGCCGTTTGGAAAGTTACAAACACACAACACACATACATGTGAAACTAATAAAAGCGTTTTAATAAAGAGATTTGTTCAGATGAAAATTAGTAAAATTGTCTATTAGTCTTGGATAGTAATAAATATTAACTAAAAAAGTAGTTCTTAAATTATACCTAAATCATTTTAGTATAATTTTAGATAGGGTTTCAAAACTGTATTAATAACCTTATAACTACCAAAAAATGACTCGTAAAACGTATATAAAATGAGTAACGATTAACGTGAAATGTATAATAACACATAAATTCCAGTGAAATGAGACAAAAAGCAAAACTAAACAGATAACAAAAACGTATTGATAATTCGTTATAACTCGAATTTGAGAAAAATATAAAATATATATATTTTAAAAACACTGTAACTTTTTTTTTTAAGCACTGATCCTAATGAATATTTATTTAGTAAATAAAAGACAAATAAACTTTATGTTATTATTTTAATGAAAATCCCATAGAAACTTATGTATAAGAAGAGTTTAAAAGAGATCGCCCACGCATGCTTTTTAGCCTCGATGCGAAGCTGAGAAAATATTAATTTTATTACGATGTGTTTTTATTTTTTGTGACTGTTACTACTTTTTCTCAACTCTCACCGATTTCTTTCAACAATATGTGAAAATATCACAAATCATTTCAAGTCGAAGACATTACCCTCAAATATTAAAAACATTTTCTTCGTTCTCCGTAAATGGGGGAAATCTCCAAAAAAATTAGAAATTTTAAAATCGCTAATTTTCGAAATTTTTCCGGAGATCCGGAAATACTGACACTTTTATATATACCTCAAATTAAATCTTATGTAATATACTTTATTATGAAAAAAAAAAAAAAAAATTTCAGACTTTATTTTGTCTTCACAGTGAAAATGACTACCGTATGCTATTTTGTGTTAAATTCTCAATTTTACATTTTTAACATTATTATGCTATAACTTTTTAAAAAATGTATGGATCATTATAATTTTTTAAGATAAGTACTATTTATATTTTTCTTTTATGCAACATACTTTTTTTTTAAATAAAACAATTTCCCTTTAAATATTTATATATTTATTTATTTATTCATATATTACACTTATAAATCATAAAACTTGTAATTAGGATATAAATAAGGAAATAAGAGATCATGTCGCTTTTGGAATAATCCACCAAATTTTTAAAATTAAACGATATCTACAGATTTGCATCGAAGCGTTTTTTATAATAGTGATTTTAATCACTGTCAGATATTATTATACTTGACCCAACTACGTCACATCCCCACTGTGCTGGGTTTTTTTTTTTAAATTTTGATTTTTGAAACTGTTCTGGAACGTTTGCATTCTTTAAACCTATGCCAAATTGAAGCTCTTAAAACGTCTTTAATGATAAAAAAATAATTTCCAGTGACCTTTCCTTCTAGAAAAAATTGATTGCCAAAGTAAAAAAAAATGGTAGCACAATGGAGTCACAGTGTAGACGTGGCATAGTGGAACAAGTATAGATAATTTCTGACAGTGATTAAAATCACTATCATTAGAAGCGCTTTGATGCAAATCTGTAGAGTGTTTAATTTTAAGAAATTGATGGATTATACCAAAAGCAAAATGAATTCCTATTTTCTTCATCAATTAGTAGTTTTTTAATTTCTTCCGAAGTAGTTCTTTGATTTAGAAGTATAATATAAGAATAAATATTAATTATTGCAATTAAATATAGTATGATATTGATATTTAATAATTTAGTGTTGTAATTTTTACGGAGAACTTATAAAGAATTATAAAGTAGTTATTACTTTTATGGAAAACTTTTATAAAAAATAAATAACTTAATATACAACTTCAGAAAATAATTTGTTGTTAATTATGAACAAATGGATACAAGGAATTTTCATCAGAGTCAATAATATACTTTTCTTGGTAAATTTTTCGCACTGATTTCAAATCTGCAATTTTCTATCACCACTAACTTATAATATTATTACTAAATAGTTAAAAAATATAGGATATAAATGTACGAAATACAGTTCAGAATATTTCAATTATAGGATCTATTTAAACACTAAGAGTTATATAAAAATGATTAGTATTTCTATTGAAACGATTTATTACTGTATAAATACAAAAATTTAATAAGTAATTTTAACAAAATTATGGACTTTTTTCATATACATTAATACATTAGGTAAATACTTAATGTATCCATAAAAAAAAATCGTCAACTTTTAATTATATAACATTTTTAAAAAGACAATATTTATAGGGATTGGTCTAATTCCCTCTTTTTCATACTTCACTGTAAAGGTGTATTTAATAGGTTTTATGTATTTAGTTTGAAAATCCATTCCCCGAAAATAAATAAGCTGAACTTTCTTCAGGTACTTTTCTATCGAGATTTTTATGATAGAGGTTAATATCTCTATCATAAAAAACTTTCAAATTTTAATCTATTCTCTGTGACGAGTCTCAACAGTACTGTGTTTTGTTATGTAAGATTAGTCAGTTGTGTAAATATCACAATGTAATATTAATTTTATGTGCACCAGATGAACTACACTATTCTTTTACGTATCAGTGTCTTACATAGCCCATTAATAGTAAACATACTTAATAAATATTTTACAAATTATGTTTTATTGTTTCTAAATAATTCCTGTTTAAATTTAGATAGCGTTATGTAGAACTTTATATGATTACTCTAATCTATATATTTTAATGCATCTGTTTATAAACGAATTCTTTGGCCAAAATAATTTTACAAACATATTATATTTCATTTTTAATTTGTAAATTCCAACGAAAATAGTAACAACTAATATTGTTAATATTAATGAATGTTTGCCACAAAAAAGAAGTATCTAGTAATACTGTATTTTCAATGGACATGTAATTTTAGATGTTTATTAAATACGATAATAAATAAATAATTACGATGTCTAACCCTAATAATAGTAAAATAAAAATAAAAATTTTGTTTTCTATTACAAATTTAATTAATGTTGGACAATATAAAATAGATCATCCACGATTTAAAAATCAATTATTTCCGACTGCACAGTGACAATTCATTTTTTAGAGTAAATATATTTTTAATTACTATAAAAAAAATATCGGAATGGACTAAATTCAAATAGTTTAACTGGAAATACATTTCTGTAACGGTATAATTTTTACTACAATTTCGTAAAATCTTGTTTTGTGGTAATTATACGAGAAAATAAAGTATAAATATTTAATAAGTTTTATACATTAACAAGTGTTCTTTTTATATCAATAAAAAGACACTCGGGTTAGAACAATAGTTACAGACTCGATTAGTTTAAAATTATGAGTTCTGAGATTTTAATACTCTAATACGAAAATATACTTAATAGTGAATAGATATGATGAGGCAGCATATATAAATTTATAGAGATCACATTGTGGATTCGTTACACATAAACTTAACATGTATAATAACTAAATAAATTAACTTGTTTAACATATTATATTAAACATTTAACACATCAGTCGTTTAATCTAAAGAAAAGTAAATAAACGATAACACATACAGTATACCTTTGATACTATGTCATAACTTTGATAACAATTTAAATGATAATAATGTAGATAAGAGTTATTTCATTTCTGTACTAATTGGGATTAAATAGATATTACACAAGAATCAAGTTTTTTTTGTTGCAGCACATTTTTTTTTGCTCGTTTAATTTTTTTCTCATTTGAATGTAAAAGTCATTTTGAAATATTTATTTATATATGTATAGTATATTTATTTTAATTTTAATTATAACTTAAACATTTTTTTGTAATGGTACAATACTGATTTTTTTTTATAAATACTTAAAAATCTTAATGTATATTGTTACTTGTAAAATACTAAATTGGAAATAACTGTGGCAATATTGAAATATTTAATCTTTAATAATTCAGTAATTTTTTCACACTAATGTAAGTTTAATTTACAATAGTTTATTCAATAAAAATTTAAAATAGTGTTTCAAATTAATGTTACTTATATTAATTTTAAAAATTTTATGTTGCAGTTCTCATCAGAAAAATATGATAATTTTAATAACTATTGTTATTATTCAGAAGTCCTAGCTCTTTTAAAATGAATGATTTAATGGGATCATCAAGTTTCCTTCACTTGGGAGACATAGTTTCTCTCTATGCTGAAGGAAATGTATGTGGTTTTCTCAGCACATTAGGGTAAATATTTAACTTTAAAAATAAAATAAATTTTGTAGATAAAAGTTATAGCTTTTTAGAGTTATAATATAATAAGTGTTTTTACTATTTAATAGCTTGGTTGATGATAGAACAGTTGTCTGTCCAGAAGCTGGAGATTTAAATAACCCACCAAAAAAATTTAGGGGTAATATCAACTTGTGATTCTTTTACATATACCATCATCTTGATCTGTATAAAAAATATGTTAAAATCAACATTGTATAAATTATTTTTATAATTACAGATTGTTTATTCAAAATATGTCCTATGAATCGATACTCTGCTCAAAAGCAATTTTGGAAAGCAGCTAAACAAAGTGCTAGCGCGAGTGCTGACACAATCTTAATTAAACGATTACATGTATATATCTTTTAGTATTATTATATTTATTACTTAATTGTACACTCAAAAAATATAATTTTTTTACTTAATTTGTTTTTAGCATGCAGCTGAAATAGAAAAAAAACAAAATGAATCTGAAAATAAGAAAATACTTGGTACAGTCATTCAGTATGGCACTGTTATACAAGTAATTAATTACATTTGAATTATTTTTAGTTTATAATATTTATTATTATTTTTTAGGTACTTCATTTAAAATCCAATAAGTATTTAACTGTAAATAAACGACTACCAGCTCTGTTAGAAAAGAATGCAATGAGGGTCTATTTAGATGCTAATGGAAACGAAGGATCATGGTTTTATATCATGCCTTTTTATAAGTTACGTTCCACTGGTGATAATGTTGTTTTGGGTGATAAAGTCATTATGAATCCAGTGAACGCTGGACAGCAAGTGTTGCATGTTGCTGCAAATTATGAATTGCCTGATAATTTAGGATGTAAAGAGGTATAGATACTTATTTTTGTGTTATAAATAATTATAAAATGTTTAGTACAGTTAGGACTCAGCATAGTGAAATAAGTTACATCTGAGGCTAGTATGATTAAGTAACTGGTAACTTTTATTATTTTTTTATTATTAAATGGAGAATGGTCTAAATCAGTAGTCGGCAACCGGCGGCCCGCGGGCCGGATCCGGCCCGCGTGGCTATTGAATACGGCCCGCTTTAAATTCTAAATCGACTAATTTAATTGAATATCATTTTGTATAAATATAATTGAACGTTGCGTTTTTGGTACGGGTATTTTATATAAGTCATATTATTATTTTAAGTTTTAGATAGTATTTTTTTGCATAATAAATAATGTAATTATAAATTTTTTTTTTTTATCTGGCCCGCGAACTCTTTTTAATTTGTAAATGTGGCCCGAGAATTAAAAAAGGTTGCCGACCACTGGTCTAAATAAAATTTTGACTAAACAATAACCTATTTTTTAATATTGCCAAATCACGTTAAATGAGTTTCTATTTTATTATCAACAATATAGAGAAAGTTTTCTATCCCAATATATATTACTAAAGCATTTTTAATCTTCAGTATTGATAAAAAATTAATAAATGATATGTACTATTTTTTAAAGTTATATACAAAATGTTATTGTTTTTTGTCTACAGTGTGATTTATTATGAATTCTACCCTAATTTTTTTTTTTCAATAATACTGTTAAGTTACCATCGTTGTAAAAATCAGATTGTAATACACCAATAATAATATTAATATAAAAAAATATAGATAATAGCTATATTTTGTAACAATAATCAAATATTTTCAAATTACTTCTTATTATGAAGAAATAAGTTTTTTTTTGTGATACAAGACTATCTATATTAAATAGATGAAATTATTCTTTATTGAATAATAGTATTAATGGTTCAGTGTTTTGGATTTAAATAATAATAAAAAAGAAAGTGCTGTTTATACCTTTTATTGCTTTATAATAACTGAAAATAATTTTTCTTCTTTATAAAAATAAAATTTTAACTTTTCAGAGTAAAGCATCATCATCACTTTACNTAAAAATAAAATTTTAACTTTTCAGAGTAAAGCATCATCATCACTTTACTAATAGGGGTTTTTTTTTTTGGGGCTCAATAATTTTGTTTTACTTTTCAGATTGAGATTCAACCAGTTGTTGCTGTATATCTTCTAATTCTGAAAGTTCTTTCTCTAATTTTTCTCATATATTACTTAGTTTGTGTTTTGAATAGAAATAACAACGTTATAAAAAAAAACCTAATTTAAGAATAGAATTTTATATCAATAAATATTATTTTTTGTCTTATCTCAATTCTATATTTTATAATATATTTTAATACAAAAAATATTAACAAGATTGTCACAAAGTTTTTTTAACCTAATATCAAATAATATATATTTTATAACAATGTGACCAAAGTTCAAACAGTTTTTTTTTTAAACTTTTTTTCTATTATGTTGATATTTCAAAAATAATTAATATTGTGGGAAAAATGAAAAAAGTCATTGATATCGAGTTGAAGTATTGATATTGTTAACAAACCCTACTAAATATTAAGATTATTATAAGAAAAATAATTTCTGAGGGATGATTTTAAAAATTAAATAGTTATATATTTTCTTTTTTTCACTTCTAAATGGTGAAGAATAGTCTAAATAAATTTCCACTGTTTGATAACCAGTTTTGTAACATTAATTTTTTAGATATAGATACATATTAATTATGTATGTAACTCCTTTTCCTTTTTTCTCCTATTTTCCTTATTTATTAACAGTGTTAAAACATCATTACTGTATTGGATTCTACTATGTTTTGCTGATCATGTAAAATTATTTAGTGGAGTAAAATATTATAATGATTGCCTATTTTTGCAGTATGATTTAAATAGCTTTGTTACTTGATCAAAGTGTCTTTGCTTAAAGTTGAACTTTTTAAAATTAAAAACTATGATATTTACTAAACTTCTATGTCTTTTTCTTATACATTTAATGGTGTACTGCTGCTTTCTACTAGGAGTCGAGTTAAAGGTCTTGACTTAATTTTGGTCTCTTCACTCTGTTCTCATATTCATATTAATGATATCATATGCAGAACATATAAACTACTTTGTTTTATTAAAAGAATTACCAGTGAATTCGAGTTAACTAGTTCTATTAAATCACTTTATTATGCCCTTGTAAGACTTGTTCTTGAATATGAATTTGTATTATGGGACCTGTCAACTGGTCCATGATAAGAATGTATTAAAACTGTTCAACCCAAGCTTTTAAAATTTGAAAGCTATATTTAAAAAATTAACTGTCCTTCATGATTATAATCCTGTTCTACTAAAACTACATTTATCCCCTCTGGCTAACCATTGGTACTCTTCTAATATTATTTTTTACAGAAATTGATGAATGATCTTAGTAATTCTCTTTTATTATTAAGTAAAATTAACTTTAAATTTCCTAATTGTATGACTAGAAATAAGTTTACATTTCTGATACCTAAGCACAATCCAACCTATTGAGATAATGAACCCAACTAGGTTAATATTTTTTACCAGTGTTGATCTTTTCTTGTTTAGTTTTTATTGTTCTATTCAATTTATTTCTAATATTATCTGTTTTAATACATATTTATATTATTTTATTTATATTCTCTGTTCAATTTTATTTTTATTTCATTTAAAATCCATATCTTATTTCAATTGTCACTTATACTAATGGATAAGAACACTGTTTTTTNATCTTATTTCAATTGTCACTTATACTAATGGATAACAACACTGTTTTTTTGAGTTTAACGCATGATTAATTATAAGTTAATAAATAAATAAATAAATCTAGCTAATATGATTATCTAGATTTCCCCAACATTGAATATTACATTTTTAGTTAATATAATTATTAGTAATAGGTGAAAAGGATACACAAAATAATATAATTCTTCTTCGTGCCTTACAGAAAATTGAGATATTACTTCATTTTTACTTTATTGAGAAAAGATAAAAAATTTGGTGTTGAAAAAATTAGTATACCTATTTTAACGAGTATTACAAACTCCATAATTTTTAACCATATGAATATTTTTTATTACTTTCTTTTTCAAAAACTTTGTTTAAACTATAATATCATCATAATTTTTTAAAATAATTACCATGTATAAAAAAAATAAAAATAACCATTTTATAATGTACATAATTGGAAATAATTTAGTAGCAAAATATCGCAAATAAAAGAAGCATATATCAATCAATTTCATAATCATTTTTTTACTTTTCTAGACTTTTTATTGCAAATTTCATTACAAAGTAATAATTTATTTTACTAATATTTATTTATTTTAATAATTATTATATTATTAGCATGATGATATCTAAATATAAGCTATTCAATAGTAATATATTTATCAATTTTTAATAAAAAAACAATGGTTCTCTACCCAAGTTTTAATTTATTGTTATTTATTAATTTTGTTCAATAAAATAATTGGCGTCCATTTGAGCAATCATAATAATCATTGGAAAATTCAATGTCTACAATCAATACTTAGTGTGTAAAAATTGTATTACTTCTTACTATCTTAATGAGGATAGATATCAGAAATTATACACAAAAATTTAAAAAAAAAAGGTTCTAGAAATTTAACTACAAATATCAAGAAAATATTAAGGGTCTACAATTAAAGATATATATTAACCAAATTGGAAATTTTTTCGATTTTAAATGTATTTCAACCAATATATACAATATTTGTTAATGTAAAAATTGTGTACCATTAGTTATATTGGAAGGCATATTTTTTTTAAGAAGTAATAGAAATTTTTCTTTTACTTAAATGGAAAATAAAAATTTTTAATTACAATTATAAAATACAAGTATGTTTTTTATCATAAATTTGTGTACAATATTTTCTTAAGATAAATATAAATAATAATTACACTAAATAGTTATTTATACTTTAACTTAAAAAATTGGAACATAGTACAGCCACATTTATAGATAATAAACAAGATTGTATAAAAGTATTGAAATTGATTTTGTGACAATAATATTACTATATTTTTTACCTCAGTTATATGCTCTCAATCAAGTAACAACAATTTAAATGAGTAAAAGAATTGATAGCCCAAAAACACCATAATATTAAAACCAATAACTTCTCAGTTAAAAACATTTTTAGTTATTTTTTAATTAATAGGTTAATGTTGTAAATTCTGGAACATCATGGAAGATAACCCTTTTTATGGAACATAGAGATAACCAGGAAGAAATTTTGAAAGGTGGAGATGTTTTACGTTTATTTCATGCTGAACAGGAAAAATTTTTGACAATGGATGAGTATAAAAAAAAGCAACATGTATTTCTGCGAACAACTGGTCGTACATCAGCAACCTCTGCAACTAGTAGCAAAGCATTGTGGGAAGTAGAGGTACATAATCTAATAGAATTATTCGATATAGGACAGCTGTTCAATTTTTTTATTTAGGTTGTACAACATGATCCTTGTCGAGGAGGTGCTGGTCACTGGAACTGCTTATTTAGATTTAAACACTTAGCAACAGGACATTATTTAGCTGCTGAAATTGATGATGATGAAACAATGGATCAAATGCGTTCAAAATTAAGAGGTATTTCTATTAAATCAAATTTTAAATATTAAATCATATTTTGAATTCGTACACTTGATCTAAATAAACTTAATTATTTGTATTATTTCTTTATATACATAAAAATTGATATTTATTTAATAAATTAGTTCTTATTATATTTTATCATCATAATTAGATGTTCATGGAAGCCCTGTATATCATTTGGTGTCAGTACCTCATTCCAATGAGATAGCTTCACTTTTTGAGCTAGATCCAACAACCTTAAGCCGAGGAGATTCCTTAGTACCTCAATCATCTTATGTTAGATTACATCATTTATGTACAAATACTTGGGTTCATAGTACATCAATACCCATTGACAAAGATGAAGAAAAACCCGTTATGTCTAAGGTGAAGACTTTTTTTTTAATTTAAATTGTTGTTTTACTATAAATTATATAATGTATAGGTTGGAAGTGCCCCTATGAAAGAAGATAAAGAAGCATTTGCTTTAATTTCAGTTTCTCCATCTGAAGTACGAGACTTGGATTTTGCAAATGATGCATGTAAAGTTTTAGCATTCAATTCAGCTAAATTGGAACAGGGAACCTTATCATCTAATGAACGACGGTAATATTTACCATTATGAATAATTATAAATACTAATTTAAAATAGATGCTATAATTTATGTTTATGAAGGAAACTAATTTAGCTTTCATTGAGTTCACACATTTTTTACTCTTCAATATTTTTGTTTAATTCGATGAGAAGCTAAGAAGGTATTGGTTTTACTAAGATGTGTTTTTTTTTCTTTGTGTCTGTTACAACTTTTTCTCAGTTCTCACCGAACCGATTTCTTTCAACGATACGTCAAAAGATCACAAATCGTATCTAGTCGAAGATATTACCCCTTAAAATTGAAAAAAATTTCCCTCGTTCCCCGTAAATGGGGGAAACCTCCAAAAAAATTACAAATTTAAAAATCGTTAATTTTCAAAAATTTTTCAATTTTTTTTACTAAAAACTGCTATAACTTTTTTAAAAATAACCCAATCAATATATTTTTTTTTTATGTAGTTGCATGATATCATTACCTTTCATTTAGTATATTTTTTTTTTTATATCTGACCCTTTACCTGCCCACAGGGGGGGATTTAGAATGACAACTTTTTCAACTTAAATTTTGAAAATGTTCCCGAAAGTCTGATACTTTTATATATATCTTAAATTAAAGGTAATGTAACGTACTTTATCATGAAAAAAAAAAATTTCGGACTTTATTTTATCTTCATGGTGAAATTGGCTACCAAATGCNCTCTGGACTTGTCTTCATGGTGAAAACGGCTACCGAATGCTATTTTTGTGTGAAAATTTTCGATTTTATAATTTACATTTTTTACTTTAAAGTGCTATAACTTTTTGAAAAATGTATAGATCAATACAATTTTTTCATGAGAAGTAGTATTTATGTACATCTTTCATTTGACATACTGTTTTTTTAAATCANATACTAATTTAAAATAGATGCTATAATTTATGTTTATGAAGGAAACTAATTTAGCTTTCATTGAGTTCACACATTTTTTACTCTTCAATATTTTTGTAATAATTCGATGAGAAGCTAAGAAGGTATTGGTTTTACTAAGATGTGTTTTTTTTTCTTTGTGTCTGTTACAACTTTTTCTCAGTTCTCACCGAACCGATTTCTTTCAACGATACGTCAAAAGATCACAAATCGTATCTAGTCGAAGATATTACCCTCTAAAATTGAAAAAAATTTCCCTCGTTCCCCGTAAATGGGGGAAACCTCCAAAAAAATTACAAATTTAAAAATCGTTAATTTTCAAAAATTTTTCAATTTTTTTTACTAAAAACTGCTATAACTTTTTTAAAAATAACCCAATCAATATATTTTTTTTTTATGTAGTTGCATGATATCATTACCTTTCATTTAGTATATTTTTTTTTTTATATCTGACCCTTTACCTGCCCACAGGGGGGGATTTAGAATGACAACTTTTTCAACTTAAATTTTGAAAATGTTCCCGAAAGTCTGATACTTTTATATATATCTTAAATTAAAGGTAATGTAACGTACTTTATCATGAAAAAAAAAAATTTCGGACTTTATTTTATCTTCATGGTGAAATTGGCTACCAAATGCTATTTTTGTGTGAAAATTTTCGATTTTATAATTTACATTTTTTACTTTAAAGTGCTATAACTTTTTGAAAAATGTATAGATCAATACAATTTTTTCATGAGAAGTAGTATTTATGTACATCTTTCATTTGACATACTGTTTTTTTAAATCAGACCATTTCCCTTAATACAGGGGGGGTTCAAATCTAAAAAATGCATGTAGAAAGTAGAATTTTTTCAACTTAACTTTTGAAAGTGTTCCGGAAAGTCTGACACTTTTATATATATATTAAATTAAAGCTAATAAAATGCACTTTATTATGGAAAAAAAAATTTTCGTACTTTATTTTGTCTTCAGGGTGAAATTGGCTACCAAATGCTATTTTTGTGTGAAAATTCTCGATTTTATTTTTAACTTAATAATGCTATAACTTATTGAAAAGTGTATGGATCAACATAATTTTTTTATGAGAAATAATAATTTTTAATAATCCCATTTTTCATTCGATATACTTTATCTGAATCAGGATATTAATAATGAACTAGCAGATCATGTTGCTTTTGGAATAATCCACCAATTTTTTTAAAATTAAACACTATATTAAGATTTGCATCGAAGTATTTTTTTTTGATAGTGATTTTAATCACTGTCAGATATCATAATACTTGATCCAACTATGCCATGTCACCACTGTGCTGTGACCCCCCCCCCCGTGCTGGGGTTTTTTAGCTTGCTTTTTATAATTTTTAGATAAANCCCCCCCCCCCGTGCTGGTGTTTTTTAGCTTGCTTTTTATAATTTTTAGATAAACTATAAAAAATGATATTTATTGAATGGTTAAGAATGTTTTTTTACGTATGGATGCTTTTATCATGCTATAATTGATGACTTTGGGGTAACAACAAAATACATCTTTATTTTATTAAAATCGTTTTTTACTAAATTTAATAGAACAAACAACTCTGCATTGACTCATATAGTGTTTATTTTTTACATAAATGTGTAGTATTAAATGGGTGGTGCAACAAAAACAAATGTCTGAAGAATATTTTAGCGTTTCCTTAATTTATTACTACTAATTAAGCATTATTGTGAGTTCATTAGTTATATTTATCCTAACTTACAATTCTTCATTTAAGTCTAAAATAGATTTTTTAGATACTTTAATTTATTTTTTATCTCCTGAATAACTCGAAAAAATGGATATGTCTCATTTTTGTCTCCAGTTCTCAATTGTGAATTTAGCTAAAATCACTATAAAAAAAAATCAATTCTACCATTGATTTTGTTTAGGTGCTCATTTTTGTTTAAATGAAAAGGCATGGAATATATAATTTAAACTTAGCACTTTCTTATGCCAAATAAGCTTTATGAAGTTCCTTTGTGATATATTTTACAGTATTTTAAAAGTTATAAAAAGTTATTTTTAAAAAATGACTAAAATTAGAAGTTATTTAAGTTAAATATATTAAAAAGGTATCAAAATGTATATTATTTAATATTTAACTATTCCAGCAAAATAAAATTAACTAATTGTAATAATTCATTTATGTATTTCTAATGTTAAAATTAATTAATACATAAAATCTTCTAATTTTCAGTGCGGTAACAACATTACTTCAAGATATTGTTTATTTTGTTGCTGATTTAGAAAATGAACAGAATAAGGCAGAAGCCTTAGATTTAGTAGTACCAAACCCAAATAGGTATATACATTTTTTATATTAATTTACACAAATAATTTGAAATAATTTGACATTTAAATGAATTTTCTGATTCTTATAAATTTTTACAGAAATAATTTGTTTTAACTGTTAAAAGGATTTTTGAATAAATATCAGTTTTTATTACAGAGATCGCCAAAAATTACTTCGTGAACAATATATTTTAAAGCAGCTTTTTAAAATTCTTCAAGGACCATTTATGGAAACAGCTAATGGTGAAGGTCCTTTCTTAAAAATAGAAGAATTAAATGATCCAAAATATGCTCCTTATAAGTATATGTTCAGGCTGTGCTATCGCATATTAAGATTAAGTCAGCATGATTATCGAAAAAATCAGGTTACTATTAATATCAATTAAAAAATTGTCAGTATATTATATCACAAATGAATAATATTTAGGAATACATTGCTAAACATTTTGGATTTATGCAAAAGCAAATTGGATATGACATATTAGCTGAAGATACTATTACAGCACTTTTGCATAACAATCGTAAACTTTTAGAAAAACATATTACAGCAGCTGAAATTGAAACATTTGTTGGTCTTGTTCGTAAAAATATGCATAACTGGCAATCAAGATTTTTAGATTATTTGTCCGATTTGTGCATTTCCAATAAAAAAGCTATTGCAATAACACAAGAACTTATTTGTAAAAGTGTACTTAGTACTAAAAATTGTGATATCTTAATAGAAACTCGGTTTGTAGCAGACTTAAAGACAACTTTTTTTACTTTTTAATTATAATTTTTTATTTATAGCATGATAAAACCACCAATTTCTAAAAATGATAAATTAAAAGACAACACAGTTTTATCTACTTATGAAAATGACTCTGAGGTTATCCTACTATGGAATAATAAAAAAGTAATTTTTTTTTATTTGAAATAAATATTCTGAATATTTGTCCCTTACCATATTATTAGACCTACACTCCAAAAAATAATTGAAATAAAGAATGCTTAGCAAGCAAAGTTTCAAAGTTCATAAAGAGCATAAATTATTTATTTTTTCTAAATTTTATTTATCTGGCTTATATATCAAGTCTTTATAAATAAAAAAGTGATTCGGTAGTTCATTGGAACACATTATGCCATTTCAGTGCCAATATCTGTTATAATAGTATATTCATTTGTTTTTTTTACTTTGACAAACAAACTAGTAAGTATAAATAACTCTTATCATAATGAAGAAAAACATGAGAGACGACCAATTAAATTAAATTAATTCTTATAGTAATATAATTTTTAGGTCTTGCAAAAAATTTCCTTAAAACAAATTCTTTCAATTTGATCTAATTGATAAATTTTAGGACTTAAATCTAATATCTGAAAAAATTTGTTACTTATATTCTATTGTCTTTCAGACTTTTATTCTTCATAAGATCTGTAAAGCTTTTACAAAATAAGTTGTATTATTTATCAACATATTTCTACCAGTAATATACATAATTAATCATCTTTAAACCTTGTTTATTAACTTTTTGAAAAATATTAACTAATATGTTGTCTGAAGAATTTGTAATTCAAATTACTGAGAAATGTCTCATGCAAAACAAACTGCTGAATATCATCTTGACAGTAATGGCCTCTGTGATGTTAAATTACATCCAAAAGATCTAACAAATGTTCACCACTTTATATTAATTGTACTGAAATTTTAAATTATATATTGAATTTGTGAGAAAAACTGCCTTATTTGCCTTATCCTTAAGATACTCTTGAATATAAAATATAATTTATGGTGTTCCATTTTCTATGATATTTTTATAATTACTTTTACTTTTCTTCAGAATAAAAAGTCTTTGGTTAATTTGTCAAAAGATGCTAGACGTGGAAATAAGAATGATTGGTATCTACTAGAGTACTATAGACATCAATTGAATTTATTTTCAAATATGTGTCTTAATCGCCAATATTTAGCGTTAAATAATCTATCATTACACTTGGATATTGAACTAATTTTAAAGTAAATTTTAAAATTAATCTTATAATGTTTTTATTAATTTATATTTTATATTAATTTTTTATGTTTTTAGGTGTATGGCTGATGAAGATGTTCGGTATGACTTAAGGGCATCATTTTGTCGTCTAATGCTTCATTTGCATGTTGATAGAGATCCACAAGAGCCTGTAACTCCTGTAAAATATGCAAGGTTATGGTCAGAAATACCTTTAAAAATCAGCATTAATGAGTAAGTTTAAATAATAATTAAAAAAAAAATAATTAATTTAAATATCAATTTAAGTTCCATTATTTTTATTAATTTCAAAGTATTTTTCTAAAAAATATCAATTTATTAAAAAAAAATTGTACAATTTTTTGGTAATCTCTTAATTAAAAAATTATGTGTTAAATGATTTGATTTATAATTTGTCTGATAAAAAAAATTATGCTTTCTGCATTTAATGAAAAACTTACTCTATTACTCCAAAACTATTTTAAGCATTGTTTTATTAGCTTTGATGCAAAGCTATTAATGATACTGTATGTTTAATTTTTCATGGCACTTTTTCTCAGCTTCACTGGATTAATTTCTTTCAATGATACATTAAAAAATCACAAACTGTATCTAATTGAAGACATTTTCCTCAAAAATTGAAAAAATTTCCCTTGTTCCCCTTAAATGGTGGAAATTCCCCAAAAATATATAATTTTAGAAATCTGTAATTTTTGACATTTTTTAAATTTTTTTATTAATTTTCAAAATTTTTTTAAAAATGAATAAATCAATATAATTTTTTATTTATAGATATATTAGGTACTTATAGTAAAAATGGCTGCCATATTCTATTTTTAGTATACTATATAAAGTATACTATTTTTGTGAAAAAATTTTTGATTTTATATTTTTAAATTTATATTGTTGTAACTTTTTTGAAAAATGTACAAGTCAATAGAATATTTTTTTTATAAATACTTTTTATATATCCTTTTCATCCAATCTTTTCATCATACTTTTTTTTTAAATCGGACAATTTCCTTTCATACAAGAGGTGTCAAAACTTTAAACATACGTATAGAAACTAAAACTTTTTCAATGTAATTTTTGAATGTGTTCTGGAAATACTGACACTTATGTAATATACTTAAATTTGAAAAAAAAAATTGACTTCTGGATTTGCCTTAATGGTGAAAGTTCCTTGTAGTCCAGTGTATTAATTGATAAGCAACTTGACAATCCATGAAAGCTTTAACACATTCATAAGTATTTATTTTTATCAAAAATTATATCTAATAAAATCTTAATTACTCTTCTACTTAAAAAATATATTTTTATTAAATGTAAATATATTTTTAATAGTTATGATAGTAATCGTACACCAGATCCCAACAAAGAAGCTGTCCGCTCAAAATTTAGTTCTACCATATCATTTGTGGAAGACTACTTATTTAATGTAGTTGCTAAAGCGTGGAGTTTTCAAGATACTCAACAAAATAAGCTTACTTTTGAAGTAATATTACTTTATGGATTTATTTTTAAACATTATTTAAAATTCATATTATTTTATTTTGTAGGTAGTAAAATTGGCTCGAGATCTTATATATTTTGGATTCTACAGTTTTAGTGATTTACTACGCTTAACTAAAACTCTTTTGAGTATTCTTGATTGTATTTCTGAAAATGATTTTAATTCTGATCAAAGCTCAACTGGTGAAATGCATGGTAAGTGTACTGAATAGTTTTATAGTTTTGTTCATGTGAGTTTTATTATATTTTATGCTATAATTTGGTAATGGCTTTTTGCCAAAACTATTATCATTATATATTATTATAATTTAAGTTTTTATTTTTATATTTTAATAAATAACCATTACATGTAATAAAAGTATAAAAATTGTATTATATTAGATATAATACTGAATACTGAAATAATAATACTGAATGTATTATATATATTTTATTCATGTTTTCAAATTATATCACATTAATATTATTATATTAGCTTGTTAATATTGTGTATTTTTATTAAATATGTATGATAGTTTTAATATTATCTTGGTATTATAATACTAAAAAAAAAAAATTATTAATTTTGTCTCTAATTAGCTGAAGGCAATGTCTTAAGATCAATAGGTGATATGGGTGCTGTAGTAACAGGACTTACACTTGGTGGTAATGGTGTTCATCATTCACCTTCTAAACCAAAATCCAATAGCAAATTATGTTTATTAAAAAAAGAAGCTTATCCCCTTGTAATGGATACAAAATTAAAAATTATTGAAATATTACAGGTAATTTTATTAATTACTATTAAAGTTTCAGTTGAATATAAATGTTGTATAATTATGTATAGATTTATTTTGGTAAAAATATTATGTATTTTCCCTATTAATTACTGCTACAATTATTTATTTTTGTGAAGTTTAATAGATTAAGATAATATGTATTATTTTATATATTTTTAGTTCATTTTGGATGTCAGATTGGATTATCGTATTAGTTGTTTGCTATCTATATTTAAAAGAGAATTTAATGAAATTGAAAAATCAACATCATATGATACTGTTTTAATTGATCACAAGTCTGTTGATTTAGAGTACATTGGGATGCAAGCTGAAGGAATATTTGGAGAGAGGTACTTTATAATTTTTATTTTATCATACCTTATAGTTATGCAGTATTAAAAGTCATAAAATCAGGACATTAATTTGCTTTTTACTCAGTAATACTTTTCTTATTTTGTACAACCCTTAAGTATCACTTCTGTTATTTTAGTAATGAAATTACATTAAAAAAAATAATTTTCAGTGAAGAGTGTGCTGCTTTAGATTTAGATAACAATGGAGGAAGAATGTTTCTTAGAGTTTTGCTTCATTTAACAATGCATGATTATCCTTCCCTTGTATCTGGAGCTTTACACTTACTGTTCAGACATTTTAGTCAAAGACAAGAAGTTTTACAGGCCTTTAAACAAGTAAATATTCGAAAATTTAAACATTTGTACTATTTTATAAAACACAATATAAATTAGAATCTTTTTTCTAGGTACAACTCTTAGTATCAGATTCTGATGTAGAAACATACAAACAAATAAAATCAGATTTGGATATATTAAGGCAGTCTGTTGAAAAATCTGAATTGTGGGTTTACAAATCAAAAAATGAAGAACATAATAAGAAAATGGCACAAGGAGATGAAGAAGAAGATACTACTGGACGAGATAGCCGTAGTTCATCTTCTAAAGTTATTGCTTCTATTGGTACAATTGGCAAACAAGGATCAGCTATTGATTTAGATATAGGGCCACCAATTCATCCAGACCAAGCAGAAGAATATAAAAAAATTCAATTGGTAAGTGTTCTAAATTATCTAAATTCCCTTTTGAATATTCCCAATTTATTAAAAATATTTTTTTTACAACAATTTTATCTTGATTTATTTTTTATCCTTTTAATACTTAGTCCATTTTAGCAACAATGCTAAGCATTAAAGTTTTACAATTATATATATTTTTTTCTATCCACTTTTTTGTCAACCCAATTTTTTTTAATAAAATTATAAAAAATCTAAATTGGTATGATGTTAAAAATTGTTTTCCAAATAAAAAATTCATTCTCTATGGGAGAAATCTCTAAAAATTAGTTATGAAAACTCACAAATTTCAATATTTTAAAATATTTTTGAATTTTAATTTTTATGACTATTTAAACCTAACATATTTTTTTTAATATTCTTTTGATTCACTTATTAGAAATAATTTTTTGAAAATCTGACTATTTGCCTAACTAAATGGGAAAGTCTATCAATATCAATAAATGTATGCTAAGTTAATGTTTTTAACATAACTATTGAAAATGTTTTATAAACCGAATACCTCTAAATTTATGTTGAATTAAAAGTTATACAAAGTGAAAATCCTTTTCAAACTAGTCACTTAATTTCTCTTAAAATAATAATTATTTTATGAATTTATTTTTGAACTTTTGTTAGTTATATATGTATCTTCATTTATTATAAAATATGTTTATATTCATCCTTTATAAAATTATCAACTTTATTTTTTTTAATGGGGACATATATAATTAATATACTTATAAAATAGAATATTATTTAATTAAAAAAATAAAGGGTTGATAAAAACTTTTGAACCAGTATTTCAGAAGTTATTAACATATTTATACCAAGGTGAGAAAAGGAGTAAAAAATGTCTAGTGATAAAATAGTAGCATCCACTTCTCACCTTTAGCTCATTACTTTAAATTATTCATTTGATTAATTAAAATCACTGTCAGATTTCTGTCTATATTTGTTCCCTCTATAATAAATCCTGATGGATCTGTTTTTTTGTATGTTATGTCTAATATTACTCCTTAAACTTTTGTAAATAGTTTTATTTAATTTGATAGTATAAGTCTAAATAACAACATATGGATTTTCAGTGCAAGAAAAAATGAAGTGTTGTTATATAAATATTTTTATTTAACTTATGTATATACAATTTTTGTAGATTCTTATACGGATGAATAAATTTTGTGTTACCCGAACACTTGGATCTCAACCTAAACCTCGTAAACACGAGCAAAGATTATTAAGGAATGTAGGTGTACATACAATTGTATTAGATTTGCTACAAGTACCTTATGACCAAAAAGAAGATATCAGAATGAATGAATTAATGCGACTTGCTCATCAATTTTTACAAAACTTCTGTCTTGGAAACCAGCAAAATCAAGTCTTATTACACAAGCACCTAGACTTATTTTTAAACCCAGAGGTTTGAACTTTTAATTGTAATAAATAAATGATATATACAAAGTGATCCCTAAATTAAGCCTCACTAAATATCATTAAAACTAAAATGTTTAACCATCCATAATTTTTTCTTTAAATTTTATAAATTTACATTAGTTTCTTAATATAAACATCAAGCATGGTCAATTTTTGTGAAAGTTTAAAGTTTTTGAATCTTAATTTTTAATTAATCAATTAGGAGATTCAAATATATAATATAATTTTTAGTTAACTTTTTTATTTGATAAATTTGTTATACACAACAATATCTTGTTTTCAGATTCGAGAAGCAGAAACTGTTTGTAGCATTTTCAAAGATAATTCAACATTATGTAATGAAGTTAGTGATAAAGTTATTCAACATTTCATTCATTGTATTGAAACTCATGGAAAACATGTGCAGTATTTAAAGTTTTTTCAAACTATTGTTAAAGCTGAAAATCAATTTATCAGAAAATCACAAGATATGGTCATGCAAGAAGTAAGAAATACATAATTTAACATTTTAGTTTTATTTAAATCACGATAAATCACAGATAATTTAATAATAATTTCAGTTAGTTGCTGCTGGAGAAGAGGTTCTTGTTTTTTATAATGATAAAGCATCATTTGCTCAATTTGTATCAATGATGAAATCTGAAAAGCATAGATTAGAAGAAAGTAGTGCCCTTAAGTAATTATTATTATTGTTTTTATATTCAATTATTTTTGGTGTCAGAGAAAATAATTTTTATAAGTAATAACATTTTTTTTTTAGGTACCATATAGAGTTAGTAAAACTGCTATCATGTTGTACTATGGGTAAAAATGTTTTTACCGAAATCAAATGTCATAGTCTATTACCATTAGATGATATTGTTACAGTGTTATCTCATCCTGATTGTATTCCTGAGGTATGTGAAAGTTATTTTTTTGAGTCAATACATTTAAATAAACAATTTTATATTCCTAATAGGTTAAAGAAGCCTACATAAGCTTTTTAAACCACTGTTATATTGACACTGAAGTAGAAATGAAAGAGATTTATGCATCAAACCATATGTGGAGTTTATTTGAGAAAAGTTTTTTAGTGGATATGAATGCAGTAATAAAAAGTAGTAGTGATCGCTTAAATGTTGACCTAGCCATGGAATCGTATGTGGTCAATGGAGTTATGACTGTTATTAGCACATTTTTCAACAGTCCATTTTCAGATCAAAGCACTACTGTTCAAGTTATTTTAACATTTATATTCATTGTTAATTGTAATTTTCATTAAAATATAAAACAAATATTGCAGGCTCGACAACCTATATTTATACAATTACTTCAAGCAGCATTTCGTATTTCTCAATGTTCTTGGCTTTCTACTGCACAAAGGTTTAATGTTGAAAATACTATACGTACATTAGCTGAAGTTGGTTAGTTAATCATAAAATTGAATCTACTTATTTTTATTATTATTAAAATAAAAAAAATGTAAAATGTTTAACATTGTTAAAAATTTTTAATTTTTTATTATTAATATTTTTTTTATTTTAGCAAAAAGTAGATCTATTGCTATTCCATCACAAATGGAATCCCAAATAATTGCCATGTTCAATAAGTCTACTAACCTTTTATCTAGACAAACAACAAAGTGGCTCCAAGCTGCCAAAACACCAAAAATAGAAAGATCTCAATCCCAAGTAAGAAAATACTTCTTAGCTTCGATGCGAAGCTGAGAAGGTATTAATTTTACTATGTGTTTTTATTTTTTTGTGTCTGTTACCACTTTTTCTCAGCTCTCACCGATTTCTTTCAACAATGCGTCAAAATATCACAAATCATTTCAAGTCGAAGACATCATTCTTAAAAATTAAACAAATTTCCCTCGTTGTCTGTAAATGGGGGAAATCTCCAAAAAATTACAAAATTTAAAAATCGCTAATTTTTGAAATTTTTTTTACTTAAAACTGCCTTAACTTTTTCATAAATGAACAAATCAATATAATTTTTTTTCTATGTGCACAATGTCTTTATCTATCATTTGATATATTTTTTTTATAAATCTGACTCTTTACCTGCCTACAGGGGGAATCAAAATGATAACTTCTTCAACTTAACTATTGAAATTGTTCCATAAATACTGTCACTTATATATATATACCTTAAATTAAATCTTATGTAATATACTTAATTATGAAAAAAAATATTTCGGACTTTATTTTGTCTTCACAATGAAAATGACTACCGTAGGCTATTAAATTGTGTTAAATTCTCAATTTTATATTTTACATTTTTAACTTTAAAATGCTATAATTTTTTGAAAAATGTGTGGATCAATACAATTTTTTTATGAGAAATAATATTTATATACTTCTTTCATTCGACATACTTTTTTTTTAAATCGGACCATTTCCCTTAATACAAGGGGGGGTCAAAACTTAAAAATGCATATAGAAAGTAGAACTTTTTGAACTTAATTTTTGAAAGTTTTCTGGAAATACTGACACTTTTATATATATCTTAAATTAAAGCTTATGTAATATACTTTATTATGGAAAAAAAGATTTTCAGACTTTATATTGTTTTCCTGGTAGACATCAAAGTTAATAAAAAAAATACGATTTTTGTAAAAAAAAATTCTTTTTTATATTTTTTACTTTATAACGCTATAACTTTTTGAAAAATGTATGGATCATTATAATTTTTTAAGATAAGTACTATTTATATTTTTCTTTTATGCAACATACTTTTTTTTTAAATAAAACAATTTCCCTTTAAATATTTATATATTTATTTATTTATTCATATATTACACTTATAAATCATAAAACTTGTAATTAGGATATAAATAAGGAAATAAGAGATCATGTCGCTTTTGGAATAATCCACCAAATTTTTAAAATTAAACGATATCTACAGATTTGCATCGAAGCGTTTTTTATAATAGTGATTTTAATCACTGTCAGATATTATTATACTTGACCCAACTACGTCACATCCCCACTGTGCTGGGTTTTTTTTTTTAAATTTTGATTTTTGAAACTGTTCTGGAACGTTTGCATTCTTTAAACCTATGCCAAATTGAAGCTCTTAAAACGTCTTTAATGATAAAAAAATAATTTCCAGTGACCTTTCCTTCTAGAAAAAATTGATTGCCAAAGTAAAAAAAAATGGTAGCACAATGGAGTCACAGTGTAGACGTGGCATAGTGGAACAAGTATAGATAATTTCTGACAGTGATTAAAATCACTATCATTAGAAGCGCTTTGATGCAAATCTGTAGAGTGTTTAATTTTAAGAAATTGATGGATTATACCAAAAGCAAAATGAATTCCTATTTTCTTCATCAATTAGTAGTTTTTTAATTTCTTCCGAAGTAGTTCTTTGATTTAGAAGTATAATATAAGAATAAATATTAATTATTGCAATTAAATATAGTATGATATTGATATTTAATAATTTAGTGTTGTAATTTTTACGGAGAACTTATAAAGAATTATAAAGTAGTTATTACTTTTATGGAAAACTTTTATAAAAAATAAATAACTTAATATACAACTTCAGAAAATAATTTGTTGTTAATTATGAACAAATGGATACAAGGAATTTTCATCAGAGTCAATAATATACTTTTCTTGGTAAATTTTTCGCACTGATTTCAAATCTGCAATTTTCTATCACCACTAACTTATAATATTATTACTAAATAGTTAAAAAATATAGGATATAAATGTACGAAATACAGTTCAGAATATTTCAATTATAGGATCTATTTAAACACTAAGAGTTATATAAAAATGATTAGTATTTCTATTGAAACGATTTATTACTGTATAAATACAAAAATTTAATAAGTAATTTTAACAAAATTATGGACTTTTTTCATATACATTAATACATTAGGTAAATACTTAATGTATCCATAAAAAAAAATCGTCAACTTTTAATTATATAACATTTTTAAAAAGACAATATTTATAGGGATTGGTCTAATTCCCTCTTTTTCATACTTCACTGTAAAGGTGTATTTAATAGGTTTTATGTATTTAGTTTGAAAATCCATTCCCCGAAAATAAATAAGCTGAACTTTCTTCAGGTACTTTTCTATCGAGATTTTTATGATAGAGGTTAATATCTCTATCATAAAAAACTTTCAAATTTTAATCTATTCTCTGTGACGAGTCTCAACAGTACTGTGTTTTGTTATGTAAGATTAGTCAGTTGTGTAAATATCACAATGTAATATTAATTTTATGTGCACCAGATGAACTACACTATTCTTTTACGTATCAGTGTCTTACATAGCCCATTAATAGTAAACATACTTAATAAATATTTTACAAATTATGTTTTATTGTTTCTAAATAATTCCTGTTTAAATTTAGATAGCGTTATGTAGAACTTTATATGATTACTCTAATCTATATATTTTAATGCATCTGTTTATAAACGAATTCTTTGGCCAAAATAATTTTACAAACATATTATATTTCATTTTTAATTTGTAAATTCCAACGAAAATAGTAACAACTAATATTGTTAATATTAATGAATGTTTGCCACAAAAAAGAAGTATCTAGTAATACTGTATTTTCAATGGACATGTAATTTTAGATGTTTATTAAATACGATAATAAATAAATAATTACGATGTCTAACCCTAATAATAGTAAAATAAAAATAAAAATTTTGTTTTCTATTACAAATTTAATTAATGTTGGACAATATAAAATAGATCATCCACGATTTAAAAATCAATTATTTCCGACTGCACAGTGACAATTCATTTTTTAGAGTAAATATATTTTTAATTACTATAAAAAAAATATCGGAATGGACTAAATTCAAATAGTTTAACTGGAAATACATTTCTGTAACGGTATAATTTTTACTACAATTTCGTAAAATCTTGTTTTGTGGTAATTATACGAGAAAATAAAGTATAAATATTTAATAAGTTTTATACATTAACAAGTGTTCTTTTTATATCAATAAAAAGACACTCGGGTTAGAACAATAGTTACAGACTCGATTAGTTTAAAATTATGAGTTCTGAGATTTTAATACTCTAATACGAAAATATACTTAATAGTGAATAGATATGATGAGGCAGCATATATAAATTTATAGAGATCACATTGTGGATTCGTTACACATAAACTTAACATGTATAATAACTAAATAAATTAACTTGTTTAACATATTATATTAAACATTTAACACATCAGTCGTTTAATCTAAAGAAAAGTAAATAAACGATAACACATACAGTATACCTTTGATACTATGTCATAACTTTGATAACAATTTAAATGATAATAATGTAGATAAGAGTTATTTCATTTCTGTACTAATTGGGATTAAATAGATATTACACAAGAATCAAGTTTTTTTTGTTGCAGCACATTTTTTTTTGCTCGTTTAATTTTTTTCTCATTTGAATGTAAAAGTCATTTTGAAATATTTATTTATATATGTATAGTATATTTATTTTAATTTTAATTATAACTTAAACATTTTTTTGTAATGGTACAATACTGATTTTTTTTTATAAATACTTAAAAATCTTAATGTATATTGTTACTTGTAAAATACTAAATTGGAAATAACTGTGGCAATATTGAAATATTTAATCTTTAATAATTCAGTAATTTTTTCACACTAATGTAAGTTTAATTTACAATAGTTTATTCAATAAAAATTTAAAATAGTGTTTCAAATTAATGTTACTTATATTAATTTTAAAAATTTTATGTTGCAGTTCTCATCAGAAAAATATGATAATTTTAATAACTACTGTTATTATTCAGAAGTCCTAGCTCTTTTAAAATGAATGATTTAATGGGATCATCAAGTTTCCTTCACTTGGGAGACATAGTTTCTCTCTATGCTGAAGGAAATGTATGTGGTTTTCTCAGCACATTAGGGTAAATATTTAACTTTAAAAATAAAATAAATTTTGTAGATAAAAGTTATAGCTTTTTAGAGTTATAATATAATAAGTGTTTTTACTATTTAATAGCTTGGTTGATGATAGAACAGTTGTCTGTCCAGAAGCTGGAGATTTAAATAACCCACCAAAAAAATTTAGGGGTAATATCAACTTGTGATTCTTTTACATATACCATCATCTTGATCTGTATAAAAAATATGTTAAAATCAACATTGTATAAATTATTTTTATAATTACAGATTGTTTATTCAAAATATGTCCTATGAATCGATACTCTGCTCAAAAGCAATTTTGGAAAGCAGCTAAACAAAGTGCTAGCGCGAGTGCTGACACAATCTTAATTAAACGATTACATGTATATATCTTTTAGTATTATTATATTTATTACTTAATTGTACACTCAAAAAATATAATTTTTTTACTTAATTTGTTTTTAGCATGCAGCTGAAATAGAAAAAAAACAAAATGAATCTGAAAATAAGAAAATACTTGGTACAGTCATTCAGTATGGCACTGTTATACAAGTAATTAATTACATTTGAATTATTTTTAGTTTATAATATTTATTATTATTTTTTAGGTACTTCATTTAAAATCCAATAAGTATTTAACTGTAAATAAACGACTACCAGCTCTGTTAGAAAAGAATGCAATGAGGGTCTATTTAGATGCTAATGGAAACGAAGGATCATGGTTTTATATCATGCCTTTTTATAAGTTACGTTCCACTGGTGATAATGTTGTTTTGGGTGATAAAGTCATTATGAATCCAGTGAACGCTGGACAGCAAGTGTTGCATGTTGCTGCAAATTATGAATTGCCTGATAATTTAGGATGTAAAGAGGTATAGATACTTATTTTTGTGTTATAAATAATTATAAAATGTTTAGTACAGTTAGGACTCAGCATAGTGAAATAAGTTACATCTGAGGCTAGTATGATTAAGTAACTGGTAACTTTTATTATTTTTTTATTATTAAATGGAGAATGGTCTAAATCAGTAGTCGGCAACCGGCGGCCCGCGGGCCGGATACGGCCCGCGTGGCTATTGAATACGGCCCGCTTTAAATTCTAAATTGACTAATTTAATTGAATATCATTTTGTATAAATATAATTGAACGTTGCGTTTTTGGTACGGGTATTTTATATAAGTCATAT